GGGAAGAGAGAGAAAGAAGAGAGAGAAAGAAGAGAGAGAAAGAAGAGAGAGAAAGAAGAGAAAGAAGAGAGAGAAGGAGAGGGAGAATGGGACAATGCTTGAGGGGTTCATCAGCTTTTGTGTTTATAAATTAATGGGCTTTAAAAATTACAGCTTTATGGATCAGCTTTTTCCATCCCTCAGCTTTATCCCACCTTTCTTTCTCTCTTTACTTCTTCCAACCATCTTCACCACATGTAGTTATTGAGTTTCTTCAAATCAACTTTTTAAAAGGAGAGAAGAAGAAAGGGTTTTAACTCCTAAGGAACCAAAAAAAAACGAAGTATTTGCTATATATATATATATAGAGAGAGAGAGAGAGAGAGAGAGAATAGTGTATGTGTGTATGTATCTTTACTTTGTTTTTTAGTTCAATATTATATTAAGGTCGCATCGTATAGCTTGGGCCGAACACCGAGAAAGTTTAAGAGTGATGGAGAAACCTAGAATATGTCGGTCGAGGATGGGGATAAGCTTGCTAGCTTGTGACGGGTCGAGAACTGAGAAAGTTTAAGAGTGATGGAAAAACCTAGAATTTGTCGGTCGGGGATGGGGATAAATTTGCTAGCTTGTGAAGAAATAGGCTTATTCCTACCGGTACAAAAAAAAATTCAATCTGAAGATCAAGATTTGACTTCTAATATTAATATGGCTAAGTTAATGACATGACTCTGATACTATGTAGAAATTACGTATCTCCACAATGATATGATATTGTCCACTTTGAGCCTAAGCTCTAATATTGACATGGCTAAGTTAAGGGCATGGCTCTGATACCATATTAGAAATCGCAAATCTTCGCAATGGTATGATATTGTGCACTTTGAGCCTAAGCTCTCATAGCTTTGCTTTGGGCTTCCCCAAAATGCATCATATCAATGTACATGTATTTCCTTATTTATAAACTCATGCTCATTCCCTAAATTAGCCAACGTGGAACTCGCTCCCAACAATCCTCCACTCCCTGAGGCCTATGGAGCCCTTGAACATTAAAACCGTGAAGTTGACGATGATGTATATTTGCTAACGATGGGGATGACGGCAATATATAACAGGTGAAAGCTGATAATATTGGCTAGCGATAGACTTGGGTTATTGCAATATATACGGGTTCAAATGGTATTGATTTTTTATTCCTACCTTAAATTTGTAACTCTATTTTATTGTAAATCCCTAAAATTTTAAAGCTCTTGATGTTGACCCCTCAACTTGAACAAAATTTCATTTTTGATCCTCTTCTCGTTTCTATAAGATATGTAAACATGGTGTCGTACATTCATTATGCCATTATTACTACCTTCACAATAAAGATATAAATGCATGGAAGTTAGAGAAGGGCTAAAATTGAAATTTCACAACATTAAAAAAAATAAACTTTTTGTTTTTTTATATATTTTTATTTAAACATTATGTCTCAAATAATTTAACCATATCGAAACATTTTTTTTTAAAAAAAAAGGACTTGAATTTGAAATATGTGGGAAAAAAAGAGGGAAAAAGACGAAAATAGCCTCAAGTTTGGAGTTAAAAGTAGGGTTTGTTTTATCCAGGTTAAGTAAGAGCAGCTTTTTTGTAAAGGGTGAATCAGGTGGTGGCGGGATGAAAAGTCACCTTCCAGGGGCATGGTGGTCAATATCATCATAATTATTTATGTATGTAAGATTCAGTCTTTTCTTTTTCCACATGCATACAAAAGAAACAAGTTAAAATAAATAAATTCAGGCTCCAAGTCCGGCCAGTAAATCATTATTTCTTTTTTTTTTTTTTTTTTTTTTTCTTTTTTTTTCTGAACTCAAAATCAGAGGCTAAGGATTACTTCCACTCAACAACTTTAATTTAATATATTTACTCATAAAATACTTTTTTATTTATAATTTCTTTCACTTTCCAAACTCATGAATAGTTCTTACCCACCCAATGGTAGGGTTTCCTAACGAGCCTCGTACCAAGAAGGAGATGTATTCCCTTATTTATGTGTATTTCTTACTTATAAATTAACCAATATGGGACTCATAATCCTCCCATCGAACAAAGTACATTATAAGTCTCCCCTTAATCGAGCCTCGACTTCTTTCTCTGTAGCCCTTGAACAAAATACACCATTTGTTCGACATTTTAGTTCACTTTTTTACTATACTTTCGAGACTCACAATCTTTGTTCTGTATTTGAGGATTCTATTGTCATGGTTAAGTTTATAGCATCGCTCTAATACCATGTCAGGAATCACGACTCTCCACAATTGTATGATATTTTTCACTTTGAGCATGCTTTAGGCTTCCCTAAAAAGCCTCATACCAATAGAGATGTTAAGGATTCTATTGTCATGACTAAGTTTAAGGCATCGCGCTCTGATACCATGTTAGGAATCACGACTCTCCACAATGATATGATATTGTCGAGCATGCTTTGGGCTTCCATAAAAGGCTTCATACCAATAGAGATGTATTCATTTACTTATAAACCCACGATCATTTCCCTAAATTAGCCAATGTGAGACTCACTTCCAACAATCTTCAACACTCCATTGGTATTGGTATGAGGCTTTTTGGGAAAGCCCGAAGCAAAGTCATGAGAGCTTATGTTCAAAGTAGACGACATCATACCATTGTGAAGAGTCGTGATTTCTAACCAAAAGAATGTTAAAAGATCCAAAACGAACCATAAAATTTTTTTTTTTTAAATGTGGGAAAATTTTTATTTATTTTTTATTATGAAGAAGTGAGATTGTTTATTAAAAATAATTGAAATTATTCCTTCATTTAAAATTACAGATTTGTTATAATAGCCAAAGCCGCCCCTCGGTAATCATTACAGTACCATTTTTGGGAAGAAAAATGGGCTAAATTTAATACTGGCCGGTCAGTCACTCCTATGCGGGCAGCTAGGGAAGAACAGAGAATGTAACTAATAATGAGGTACGGGCAAGGCACAAAAGCAAACCCGGGCAGTAATTTAAATATTAGTTTCACAATTGGAATTGGCCGTCAGATGGTGGTGAAAAATAATCGTACGGTGTAAAATGGCCGATCGTTGATTGAACCTTGAGACGGTGTAGATTGTGCCATGTGGTACATCCTCAGCCATGATAATGAACATTAATTGAATCTGGTCCGTTACATGGGGTTGAATCTGAGCCATATGATTTTGGAGAAGAGAGTTCGGCCTTTTGATCGAATCAAGTGCACCGAAGAATTGTGTGAGAAAAACACTTGATCAAAACCGAGATAATGTCAGCATTTTATTGAATTATTGATTTTAGTAATGATGATTTGAGCTCACCAAATTTAAAATAGGCATGCCGCATCTAATTAAAATAAATGCCAAATCTTGATTTCTTCTTTGGGATACGTTTATAATTGAATGCTCATAACTACAGTACTTTAATTTTTAAATTAAATTATTTATTTACAATTAATAATTAGGTTTTTCAGTCAAAGATTAAAAACCTACTTCGTAATTATAGGTTCAATTTTTTATATCTTTTTGAATTAAAATAGTAACTAAAAAAAAAAGTCTAAAAACATTTAATTTACCATTAAAATATCATATAATTTGCCGGATATATTTAATTGTCTAGGCATATATTTAAAATATCAGAAAATAAATAATTATAAATTAAAATAAATTATACATGAGGGTTGGATTGGATTAATCGGGTTTTCTCGAGTCACTGAATAGAGTCTCTATTTAAATGAGAAACGGAAGCAGCGGAGAATTTTTTACGTTGGTTAAACGGAAAGGAGGACGAAGAATATAAATCTCATCCCGTCCCACCCAAATTATTTATTATTATTATAAATAAGTTGTTGATTAATATTAAGATTTCATTTTATATCGTTGAACTAAAATAAAAACGTTAACCGTTTGTATCATAATTGATCGACCTAAGTTAATCGACTTTATTAAAAAATATTAATCAAAGACAAATATTCAAATGACTCAAAGCCTACTTGGGCCAAGGTTTGGTTGTTGTCTATTATTGAGATCAAAGTCACATGGCCAAATCTTCAAATATTCTGTATCATATCAAAGCAATAATTAATAAATGAAAGTTAGGCTACACAAAGTTAGTAGGGTTTTATATTATATTTTTATTCCTTAAAACTTATATATATTTTTATATATACACGTATAATACATAATTTATATTACGTGTTTCTATGACTTATGAGTCAAAAGTCAAACTTATTCCGTTCTATAATGATTTTTTAAAATTATTTTCGCACAAATCTGTCATAGTATGTATGTGGTTAATTGAAGAGTAAAACAAAATATTTATAAAACATTTATTATAAGAGTGTAGAAATCTCTCCGTTGACCACCATACATAACAGACCCACATATTAAGGAATAATTCAACTCCATTTATAAAATCTTAAATTTATTTTATAAAAATGGAAAATTTTTCTTAAGGTTGAAACCGTGACACGTGGAAAGAAACAAACCATGTGATAGTGCAGAGACAGTTCTTTTGCATAAAAAAAATAAAATAAAATAAAAAAAGCAAAAAGTCGAAAGCTATTTTTTAAAAAAATAAATAATAATAATAATAACGAATTAAGAACATAAAAAAGCTGAATAAAGAAATTATTATAAATAACACCTATATAGTTCCCAAATTTATAAAGCAAAACTTCATGTTTTCAAATTAATTTAGAACTAATTTATTTTAATGAGTGATTTAATATAGACATTAAGTAAATTCTTTTCTCCCTAATTAATATTGAATTCTACGTTGATATAAATTGTTCGGATCATTTATTTAAATTTTTGTTAATATCTAACAAATGAAACTCATGAACCAAAACTCATAGAGCTAAATCGTAACTTAATTCAAATAAGTTGATAACATAACTCAAACCATATCGATTGGGTTTGGTTGATCGAGTCATTCCGATCGCTAAATCTTTTGAACACCTCTTACCAAATCATGTAGTATCTATCTCAAAATCAAATTATTGAATATAATCCTTCATTAAATTACTCATAGAAACTCCATCAGATGCATAACCAATAACCAAAGGTTATAAAATACAAAACATTTGCATATGACTTGAAATGAGCTTGCTATATACATAGATGGAAGTAAAGGCTTGTTTGATCAAAGCTTTGTTGGTGATGGGCAACAAGACAGTTCCTCCATTGATGTAGCTCAACAAGCCTAGCAAGATCGATCTTTTATGTTGATTATATTGTGATTTGCTAGCATCAAAAAGCTCAAATTCTCTCTTGGTCACTGGAGGATGACGGTAGTCTATACGTGCGAGTAATCCGAATCTGTGGCGAAAACAATCATCATTTTGAGTGCCCAAAAAGAATAAATAACCAAATCATATCGTTCTTCTATTTCAATTCAAAAGCTTTATGTTTTAGATCTTGCTTCTTTTAAAATATACGTGATTAGCATATCATTAAACTCAAAGTCAACCGGCTAAATCTACCGCTAGCAGATATTTCTCCTCTTTCAACTTTCCCTCAAGATTTTAAAACGTGTCTCTAGGGAGAGGTTTCCATATCCTCTCACAGTCCACCACCTTCGAGATCCAGCGTCCTCGTTGGCACTCGTTCCTTTCTCCATCGATGTGGGATCTCACAATCCACCCCCTTTGGATTCCAACGTCCTTATTGATACACCGCCCGGTGTAATGTGGGATCTCACACAACCTAAACATAGCTTAGTTGGTTAAGACCTATACACTCGAACAAGAGATCAAAAGGCTTAATGAAAGTTTAACCGCTGAGAACATTCATTCATCCTCTGCATTCCTCCATCAATACTTAGCACTAATTAGTTTTACCTTCAATATTGCCCATGCCTCCCCTCACTTTACTTTATTGTCCTTCCTATATCCTCTTATTTGTAATGCTTTTAAGTTCCATAACACACTAGAAACTTGCAATAGCTGGAGCCCCATGGTCGAGTGGGTAGTAGGGTTATTCTACTTTTTCCGTAGCCACGACGAAGCTTCTAATAACCGGAGCATTTTGGTTAGTTGATATACTAGGAACGAGACTAAGGGTATGTTTGGATTAACCTCCTCAAAGATTTTAGATGGCCAAATGTAACAGCCCAGGCCTACCGCTAGCAGATATTGTCCACTTTGGCCCGTTATGCATCACCGTTAGCCTCACGATTTTAAAGCACGCTTGTTAGGGAGAAGTTTTCATACTCTTATAAGGAATGTTTTGTTCCCCTCTCTTACCGATGTGGGATCTCACAATCCACCACCTTGGGGCCCAGCATCCTCGCTAGCACACACCGCCTGATGTCTAACTCTGATACCATTTGTAACAGCTCAAGCCCACCGCTAACAGATATTGTCCTCTTTGGGCTTTCCCTTCCGAGCTTCCACTAAAAATTTTAAAATGAGTTTGCTAGGGAGAAATTTTCACATCTTTATAAAAAATGTTTCGTTCTTCTATCCAACTAATATGAGATCTCACATTTTATATCTAAAAATGTTTAAATTAAATAGTATGTCAAATTCACCCGAACTCTCAATCGAAAAAAAGCACCAAATGTTCGGGTTCATTCATTTTATTGTGATAGTTTGGTTAGTAGGCTCTACTATAGAAACTGCCAATTTAGACCATTGAACCTAATCACAGCCTTAATATCTAATCATGCTCGTACTGAGATTATGAATGATGAATCCAACCACAGGTAGGCAAGAGAAGGTTACCTGTGCAAAAGCATAAATTGCTCGTAAAATTCTAGCATAATCAGTTCCCATCATCTGAATGACCATATCCGCCAGAAATGTTCCCCAAAACCTGAACCAGAAACAAAAAATTATCAAATGCTTGCAGAAAGTAAAATCCTGATCACACATGTATACCGAGCACATATGTTATCGAGTCAAGACCGGGCCACGTTTGAGCACGAAAGAAAGAAATTAGGTCATCACCGACGAACGTAAATGAATGTTTAGCTCAAGCTTGTTTGCATCTCGATTATTCTCATAAGATAACTACTTGACCGTATCAGATACTAAATCCCAAGTAAGTGCCCACCGTGGCTTGAACCCGTCCTCTTATAGGGAGAGATTGAGAAAGTTTGAAGGCATAAAATAAATTCATGAAGTGAATGGCAGAAGAGGTAATTACATTGGGCCGAGCAAGGTCATAATGCTTCTAAAACCAAGATATCTTGAAGCAGCACCTGCAAGACCCTGTCCCAAATTGGAAGAAATAGATATCTCAATCTTACTGCATGCCGACGGGCTAAAACTAAAATAGCTTCTATTCAAAGAGCTGTTGTAATGACCATTAATGTATGTCCGAAGGTGTAACGACCCGCTTTTCAAGGGACTCGAGCCACGGACCGTTACTCAATGATAGAAGGCTTGAAAACGTTGTAATTATACACTGTTATAAATCTATCATTGATGCATTGGAATTGAGAACAAAATATACGATTACCTTTTGGGCAACGAGCAAGGCAACTCTCGACTCGAGATTGGCTGCAGCTAACTGTCCACCCTAAGAAGTCAGGAAGGTAAAGAATAAAGGCGCGTAGGATACACTTATGGTTCGTAAAATGAAAGAATTGGTCGATTTTTAAACGATTATGGCTTCAAAAGTTTGCATGATTTGCAGGCAAAGATAATCTTTTCAGAAAAACCTCGATGTTCTAAAAAAAAACGTTTCTTATTCCGATCGAAAAAAATATTATCTTGCCAAAAAAAACAACGATCATGTAGAAAAGTCGAGCTGGAAAGCAGAACTTCCAGGTAGATGTCAATTGGACAGCAAGAACATGACAAGCAAGGGACATTCTTGTAACAGCTCAAGTCCACCACTAGCATATATTGTCCACTTTGGCCCGTTACGTATCGTCATCAGCCTCACGGTTTTAAAATGCATTTACTAGGGAGAGGTTCATTCCCCTCTCCAACAGATGTGGGACCTCACAGTCCACCTCCCTCGAGACCCAACATCATCGTAGGCACACTACCCGGTGTCTAGCTCTGATACCATTTGTAACAGCTCAAACTCACCGCTAGCAGATATTGTTCGTTTTGGTCCGTTACGTATCGGCGTCAGCCTCATGGTTTTAAAACGCATCTACTAGGGAGAGGTTCATTCCCCTCTCCAACCGATGTGGGACCTCATAGTTCTATCTATAAACCATGGTTTTTATTCCTAAGTCCAAATGTATTGAGAATATTTCAGATGTTTTTTTTAGTATCCGTGAGTGTTCGGGCCAATTTGTGCAGACCTCAACTACTCTCACTAGACACAATGTCTGACCCTACTATATTTTAGATGTTACCGAGTACCTTTTTGATGATTTCCTTTTTAATTTGATAGTTGGCCGCTTCTCGGAACATCTTTCCAGATAAAGTCCTAGCAAACTGCAACAAGACTAATGCTTCTTGAGAAGAAAAAAAATTCAGAATAAAACAGGATAACCATATTCTTACCACTTGAAACATTTTAACCACGGTTATCAAACTACCGCCCTGTCGAGAGAAAGACAAAGATGTGAGAAAATGCAATGGTGTTCAATGTGAAGCGAAACGTGCCATGTGCAAAACGAGCTAATAAAACCGATACCTTTAATATCAAGGATGGCAGGTCAGATGCTCCATCAGTGGCTGCTAAAGTTTGCACCTTCCACTGATTGAGTCCAAGTTGTAGACTACCTTCAAGGTTAGACTGCCTCACTGATTCTTCACTACATGAGCGTTGAAAGAAACGTAATATTAATCTGCTTTTAGTCGTTCACATTCATTTATAGTTACAAATCCTTAAATCAAGAGTCGATATGATCATCTAATCCAGTTCATCATTGTAGAGCACGGTCGCCACTTTATTCACTTTCTACATGTGAGATCCCACATCGGTGGGAGAGGGGAACGAAGCATTCTTTTTAAGGGTGTGGAAACCTCTCCCTAGCAGATGTGTTTTAAAAACCTTGAGGGGAAGTCTGAAAGGGAAAGCCTAAAGAGGAAAATATTTGTTAGAGGTGGGCTTGAGCTGTTACAAATGGTATCAAAGCCAGACACCAGTCGGTGTGTCAGTGAGGACGTTGAACCCTGAAGGGAGATGGATACTAGGCGGAATACCTGTGAGGACGCTAGGCCCCGAAGGGGAGTGGATTGTGAGATCCCACATCAATTGGAAAGGGGAACGACATCGATTGGAGAGGAGAACGAGTGCCAGTGAGGAAGCTGGACCCTGTAGGGGGGTGGATTGTGAGATCCCACATCGGTTGAGGAGGAGAACTAAGCATTCTTTATAAGGGTGTGAAAACTTCTCCCTAGTAGACGCATTTTAAAAACCTTGAAGAGGAGCACGAGGGAAAGCCCAAAGATGACAATATCTACTAGTGGTGGGCTTGGGGGAAAGCCTAAAAATGACAATATCTGCTAGCGGTGGGCTTGAGCTGTTACACTACATTTAGTAGCAAGTTTCTTAGAAATACTATTTTGATCTACGTATTTTTCATTTATTACAACTCCTAAAACTTAAATTAAATGTTCGGTTACTAATAAATATATGTTTGGATCAATATAACCAGCGTTTACAGATCGAGCTATACCAACACATCTAGATTTTACAAACTCAAATGATCAAATCTAAGGTATAAAATGCAGGCCTCAGTAAAGTACCTCGAGTATTCCTGTAACAAATGAAGAAATATTTCTGCTTCAAGGTCTTCGGAAGACAACTTAGTTGAGCAAGGAACGTTTAACTTTTTTCTCACTGTAAGCAAGACATCTCTATAAGATGGTCTCCAACCCCTTCCAAGAACAACATATGAAATAAACTCATATAATTGAAATGAAATTCGCATAAGAACAATGAGCATAAAAGTTCTTGAATTAGCCATATGAGATAACCATCTTTCAGCCTGACAGCAATATGAACTATGCATAAGTGTTCTAGTTTGGCAATACGAAACCTTAATGTCGACCGGGCATCGGCTGCAAGGTATAAGAATCGAGACTCGAGCATTGAAATAAAATCATCTCTCTCTTCAAGGTCTTCCTCAATCATAGCATAGTCAGTTTCGCCATGGTTTGTAATCGATTTCATCAAAGGGCTGAAGTAACTGCACGTTGTCAACATAAAGATCAGCCTCTTGAAACTAAACTCGAAATCTAAAACTTCGTGGTAAAATGTGTTCCCTTCCCACAACCTAAGATCAACAAATTCCAGCTAAAAATACTTCTAACCCTAGCCCACCACTAGCAGATATTGTCCGATTTAGTCCGTTATGTATCATCGTCAGCCTCATGGTTTTAAAATGCGTCTACCAGGGAGAGGTTTCCACACTCTTATAAGAAATGTTTCGTTCTCCTCCCCAACCGTTGTGGGATCTCACAATCCACCCCCCTTAGGGGCCAGCGTCTTCGCTAGCACACCGTCCAGTGTCTAGCTCTCATACCATTTGTAACAGCTCAAGCCCCGTTACGTATCGCCGTCAACCTTACGATTTCAAAACGCGTCTACTAGGAAGAGGTTTCCACACCCTTATAAGGTGCTTCGTTCTCCTCTCTTGCCGACGTTGAATCTCACAACAATGCAACAAATGAAGGCAAACAAACCTGCGACCGAAGAGGATTTGTTCAAGCTCATATAATTCGGAATTCGTGGCGAGATCAAGCACAGAACGCAATTCTGGGTCAAAAGCACCTGAAACTCACAGAGTCATATCGAAAATTCAATTCAGAAATAGAAATAAAAGACAAAAAAAAAAAAGAAAAGAAAGGCACCTTTTCCATTTCTTGAACTGGAAGCATTACAAGCCACAAACTGTACACCATTTCTACGCCCAGAAGAGCTGAAAAACAGCTGAACAATACCCGCATTCTTCAGTAGCAAGACATAAAACAAACTAGAATCTAGCTATTAAGACAAATTGAAGCACCTATCCAGCGATTCAGCTAGTAAAACGGAACTTAATTGCAGTATACAGCTGACTTGAAACACAAGAGCGTCCTCAAAATTAAACCAAATTTGGAAATGAAATTTTAGCAGAAGAAGAAGAAGAATCAGAGTAAGCTTACGGAGTATGGAAGCTTCTTGGAAGCGGGTGGAGAAAGGAAGGCGAATTGAAGCGCAGCTAAAGCAGTCGTCATGGAGGAACACTTCGCCGCCGTCGCAGGCCACTCTTGAAGTCTCGATGCTCGTCACGCACAACTATAGAACCTAAATTAAAAAGAAAAAGAAAATTACACGAAGAATTAAATTAATTTTAATTTTTTTTATAACGATACAAACTCAATTTTAAAAAAAAAAATTAATACATGAAAAAAAAAATTATGAAATAGTAGGAAAAATTAGGTCCTACGTGGCAATAAATTAGTTCTTTATTAGTATTTTAGTTTAGGACTATTGTTTCAATAAATATTGAAATAGTTCAAACCTCCGGCTAATAGAAAATGTTTGTTTTAGCTCGTTACTTATTTAAAACACGTCTACTAAGAAGATATTCTTACGCCCTTATAAATAATGTTTGTTCCCCTCTCTAACTGGGATCTCGCTAAATATCCTCCAAAAACGACTCGTATGGCATTGACATGCTAAGAGTAGTATCTTACCGTTGTAATCTTGACGTTTTGAAATGATGGGGAGAAAAAAAATCTCCACAATACTAGACGTTATTGACGCTGTGAACCGAAACATGTAAATGTGCGACATTATTCCTTCGTTTCATAGCATTGGAACATTTGATCAATAAGGTACAGTCCTCTATGTACCAATGAAGTATACTTTTATTTTTTGTGGCTTAATTATAAGAAATTCATAGTTAAACATGTTTTACTTATAGTAGTTCTATGTTCGATGATCTTCTAAGAATTTTTTTTAGGACAAAACATGCTGAAATAACTCGGGTTGGTCTGTGGAGATAGTTTTCCCTCTTAAGAAACGTGGAGTAGGTTGCATCATCATATTGCAGGAGAATTATTCTCGATATAACTTTTTTACTTCATATTGTGTTGAACTCGAAAAGATGAGATTTAAGATCTCGTTTGTTAACCTTGTGGTTTTTGAAATCTAAGCAAATAGATACTGCTTTCAACTACAACCTACTGATTTCCGTGTTTTGTTGTCCAATTTTTTTAAAATGCGTCGATCCGACTTAACTTTTAATGGTTGAACTAAAAAAATAATGAAATAATATAATTTTAATATATTTAAAATTTGAGCTAGGTATGTGTATGTATGCATGGATGCATGCAAATCATGGATGAAATGGGAATTTAATTTATTAATTATTTTTTCATCTTTTATTTTATTTTTTCGGGTTAAAATTTGGAGAAAGAGTAAAAAAAAAGTAAAATATTCGGTTGTGAATATTTTCAGTGTCTGATTGGGTATGAAAATTCCAAAGACTAAACCAGGATTTTCCAGCCAAGCTGTCCACTGAATTACAGACAAAACTGGCTATCGCTATCTTATCCCTGTTTCCAAACAACTAGTAACCTAAAAACATGCGTTCATATGCACTATATTATCATTTATTATATAATTAATATTATTACATGACACCAAAGCTTTTCCATTTTTCTTTTAAATGTTTGCGGCTTATGATATTAGGGTTTCGGATTGTAACATTTTGTGCTCAAGATTCAGATCAAGGTCGGAAATTTAGATTTGGCACCTGATAACCATAATATTCTCTTTCGACATGATCACGTTAACTATCTTTCAATACGGTTAATCCTCATATACTTTGAGATCTCAAATCAGTTGAAGATGAAAACGAAACATTTCTTATAAGGATGTGAAAATCTCTCTCTAATAGACGCATTTTAAACTTATGAGACTGATGACAATACATAACAGGTCAACACGAACAATATGTGCTCGTGGTGAACTTGAGTTGTTACAAATGGTATTAGAGTCAAATACTAAGCGGTGTGCCAATGATAACGTTACCTCATATATAAGGGGGAAAATTTGACCTTAAATACCTTATCCCATTAATCACTTAGGTCAATTTGAATATAAAAATTTAAAATTTAGAGATTTATTATTTAATATTTTTAAAATATTAGAAAATTTTCAATTACAACACTAAAATATCAAAATCAAAATTTTAATTTAATAATAAATAATAAAATCCCTCATTATTATTTTGGTATATTTTCGGGGGTGAATTATTGCTGGACGACCCGAAACGGTTCACGGGTCTGCTGACAACTTTCAAAATGGACATTAAAGCCCACTTTATCAGTAAAAAAAAGAATTACAGTGGAGGGACTATTGTCGTAAAGCCCACTTTAACGGTAAAAAGAACAAAAGAATTACAGTGGAGGGACTATTGTCGGAAATTACCCTTCCAGTATTTATTTTTTTACTTTTTTCTATGGCAGGTTTAATTGGGCAATGATAAACTCACACCGCTGTGACGTATTGTTAATATTTATGAAGAATTAATCTCACATATATATATATATAAATATATGTTACGAAGAACTCAAATTCATGAACCTATACATCAAATCACATCACAATGTTCTTTTCTAAATATGATATTTGGAAGCAAAAACATTAAGATTGTTCCCTCCTTTTATCTTTTTCCTCATTTCTCCAATAATAGCAATCCCACACCAAATATCTTTTAATTAATTTATTTATATTTTATATATATTAATTTCAAGCCCATGCTCACAAAAAATGTATTTCCATCAAACTAACCTTATTAAATCACGAATATATATTTTCTCCGAATATCAATGAAAAATGTTTTGTTCACCTCTCCAATTCACGTGGGATCTCAAAATCTTGTTGGCGCACAACTCGATGTCTAACTTTGGAATCTCACAATCCACCCTTCTTGGGAGCCTAAAACTCTCGTTGACATATCACTCGGTGTTTTCCTTTATACCATTTGTAACAGCTCAAGCTCACCGTTGTCAGATATTGTCTGCTTTTGGCTCGTTACGTATCGCCATCATAGTTTTAAAGACGCGTTTGTTAGGAAAAAGTTTATACATTCTTATAAGAATTGTTCGTTCCCCTCTCGAATCGATGTATGTAGGATCTATTCACTTCATTTTATATATATGATAGTTACTACCATTGTCTGTTTCCCGTATCGCATATTTTTCAGGAGATCGTTAATGCAGCTCTGATAATGTTTCGAACATTTTGTGGTTAGTGGCCGAAGAAGATGGGCAGTGGGTAATAGCAAATATTTTCAGTGATTCGTAGTTAGTAGCTAACGAGGGCAGGGTTGCGACAAAGGAGGACGAGCAACAAAGAAATATGACGAGAGGAAGGAATAAGGGTTAAAATTGAATCAAATGATCGAATAAGTTCATATCTCTTTACAACGTTAAAATAAGTCGTAAAGAAAGTATGACGGTAGCTCTTGCACGAGATGCATATACATATACATACATACATACATATATATGGTCATGCCTAAGGGCATATCGGTTGAAGTAGATTCTTCTTTTTGATCAATCAAAACCCCTTCCCAAACTGTACAAGCTTCTTCCAAAGCATACGGCTTTCTGGATGTAGATGATGATATCTATACATATGGATCTTATATATATCGTCCAATGAAGTACCACATGAGTGGATATATAGGAATCCAAATCCGCCGAATCACTCATGTTATGATCTTCTACATCCTAGGTCTTCCCATTCCTTCATTTGACTTATGTTCTTCATGTAGCATTCAGACTGAATGACTCTATGAAATTACGTCGATACTTTCACATATTACGGGTAACGTAGGAGACATCTCTATTTTTCCCCTCGAGAATCCTTAGAATTACCACTGCTTAGCTTTCAATTTAATGAAATGTGAATAACCCGTTTTCCTCTATTTGAAACAAGGGACGCTTCTGGTTCTGTCGGTGCTTGAAACAATTTAGTCTTCTCCATATATATATATATATATATAAAAAGTAATTAGGGTTAAAAGTTTGGCATCCCAAACGGCAGGATATCCCATTATAAACTCCCTATACACACAGAGAAATAGAGAGAGAAAAAGGAAAAAAAAATGGACGGAGAGAATTCTCATTATCACTACAGAGAATGCCTACGGAACCATGCAGCGAATCTCGGCAGTTACGCCACCGACGGCTGCGGCGAATTCACTCTCGACGACACCTCTTCTCCGGCCAACCAACTTTACTGCGCCGCCTGCAACTGCCACCGCAACTTCCACCGCAAAGTCACGTATATCGGCGGCAGCGGACGTTTTTCCTCCGCCGCCCCCACCGCCGACAACCTCATGGACTACGACCGTCACGCCATCGTCGAGTACGCCGCCACCGACACCGGCGGCAGCAAAAAACGGTTCCGAACAAAGTTCACGACGGATCAGAAGGAAAAAATGCTGGCATTTGCAGAGAGATTGGGTTGGAAGTTGCAGAGGAAAGATCTGGACGAGGAGATCGAGAGGTTCTGTCGGAGCGTGGGGATCACTCGCCAAGTTTTCAAGGTTTGGATGCACAATCACAAGAATTCCTTCTCTTCAAATTCTGCTTCCACTGGAAATGTCTCTTCTGTAACAAACCAAGATTAATTAATTTAATAATAAAATTAATCTTTGTTAATGTGAGTTTAGAGCAGAAGAAGCCTAATTTAATTTCCCTTTCAGATCCCTCTGTTAATCTTGCTAAAAAGGGCCTAGACTATATAATATATCAGTATATCACCCTTTTAATTTGTTTAATTCCATATTTCCCCTTTTTTTCCTCCAATTTTTCATGAAAACTGACGCTGACCCATGCATAGAACAAAAGGCAGACTCTCTGGTCCCTGAATTATTCACCATTTTTCACTTTCGTCCTTCAATTATTGGTTCTTCTCATTTTTACCCCCTGGATATTAAAATTTTTACATCTTAAAATATGTTGGTGTTTTTGGGTATAAATAAATTTAAATTATAAACTCTCCATAATATTTTAAGAAACAATTAAATAAGATAATTTAATTTAGCAATACACTACAAAATATCTTAATATAATTTTAAAATCAATTAAAAAAAGTGGACAATTACGTACTCATGACCTCACTAATGAATAGTTATTTATTTATTTATTTTAAAGTGAGATAAGATACGACGTCGTTTGAGTTTGCTTTTAACTATTTTTAGATTTTTTTAATAAAATTTCAAGTTTGCTTATCAATGATTAAAATCATCCTTAGTTGGAATACCTTAATATTCATGTCAGCAAAACATTTCTTATTTCTTTTAAACGTGAAAATTTCTTTCTAGTAAACGAGTTTTAAAACCTTTAAGAGAGAGAGCACAAGAAGAAAAAAGGGTGTTTGGACTATTACAAATAGTATCAGAGCCAAACACCGAGCGGTATGCAGTGAGAACGCTGGCCTCAAGGGGTGGATTGTGAGTTCTCTCACATCAATCAGAGAGTAACGAGAGTGTGAAATTTTTTTCTAAGTTGACTCATTTTAAAACTTTGAGAGAAAGTCTGAAATAAAAGTAAGACAATATTGGTTAACGGTGAGTTTGTGCATCAAATAAAATACATCTTGTTATCTATGAAGCTGATAATTCGATTTTCTACTCTACCATCGTTAAACTCCAAATATAAAAATTACTTAAAAAATTCACACGATAATAATATATAAATTAAAATTTTTAAACCTATTTTAACCACTAATCATAAAATGGGTTTAAATTAGTGAAATAGTCAATCGAGTCATTCTACAAAGTTTTGTCTTTCATTTAGGGCATTGAGAAAATATTTTCTTGTAATTGATCATTAAACTGTACCATCACATTCAATATATTTTTTTTAATTAAAAATAAATAAATTTCAAAAGGGTTAAAATAGTACGTAAATAATGGGCAAGGCTTGTGCTGTCGACTTCATTGCACGTGGCAATGCGCGCTATGATGAAGCCCACCACCAATCACCACCGTTCATTCCATGCCATTCCCATACTTTATTCAACTATCCCCATCAAATCACGTGAATTTCTCTGCACTCCTCACTTCTAATCTTATCTATTTCTATTTTCGTCCCCCACTTTCTCTATATTTCCACATCAGCCACTCGTTTTTTTCTTATCTTAACCCTATTTCCCTATTTGCCCTTCTCCCTATTTTATCTCACAACAAATTATTTAATGAAATTGTCACTAAAATAGTGGAAGGTATAGTATTTCTTGATTATAGATCCATTATCATTTCCTAAATTAGCTAATGTGAGACTTGTTCGTGTACGCCTTTTTGTTCGATACTTTAGTCACTTTTTGACTATGCATTCGAGACTCACAATACTTTGTTTAGACATTTGAGGATTCTATTGACATGACTCTGATGACATGTTAGATGAATATGACTCTCCATGAATGGTAGTGTTCACTTTGAGTATAAGCTCTCATGGCTTTATTTTGAGCTTCCCCAAAAGACCTTAAACCAATGAAGATAGTATTATTTGATTATAAACCCGCGATCATTCCTTAAATTAGTTAAGTGGGACTTTCATCCAACAAGTACAATTGTAAAGTTTGATTTGTTTCTTAATAACTATCCGATAAAAAAAACAGAGACAGAGGTATCTTTACAGTAGTGTAAAATCATTAGTCATTCTACCTTTATTCCAACTTCTCTGTGTTGTCGAGGATCTATATACGCATAATATCATAGCTCTAGAGTGCCCATTGTAGCCAATCATACATGAAAGTATTTAAGAGAAAGGGCATACATGGGCAAAAAATGCAATTTCCAAAACTTAATGGGCCATTTTTAACCAAAAACTTTTATCTTTGGGCCTTAAGTTGTTCACAAGCGCCATGGAAGCTTAGTGTATATATATATTCAACAATTAAATTTAATTATTCACTTTCCAATATAATATGAAGTTTATTTACTTTACACGCATTTTTTAGTATTTTTATTTCCTTTAAAGCCGTTCTCATTTAGATATAATCTCAGTTCATTAATGTATATTTCTTCAACTATGAAACTCATTTGGTTGAATAACCTAAAAAGTAATGTGTACCTTATTAGTATACATAATAACTTTCATTTAATTTTAAGTATTTTTTAGACATAATATTCTCAGGATCACTTTGGTTTGGACGTAATTTCGGTTCATTTATTTATTCTTTTTTTTTATTTGCTTGAATTGTAATATTAGAAAGAAAAAAAAAAAATCAAAGTATTGAACTCCAAGTATTGTGTTTAAAGAACTCGCAGAGTCAATTTTCAAAATTAAAAAATTAAAAAAAAAATTAATTTATTGATCATAATTTCCTTTTCCGATACAATAAAGTGAATTATAGTTCAATAAATAAACTATTAATATCTTATTAATTATATTGATGAGATGTTAATAATGTTCTTTTATTTATTTTAGACGATAAAATTGAATATATTCCAATAATAATATATTTTTTTAGTTAAATTTAATTATAACTCAATTAATTAAAATATATATTATTTAAACAACTATTAAAAAAATTTGATTCTCCTAAAAGAGAAACTTTGTTTATACGCACAAGAGAATATTTTTATTTATTTATTTATTTGTTTATTTTGCAAATAAAAGTGATTATTACAATTAGAACAAAAAAAAAAAAGAATTATCAGAAATATTTTTGGATTTTCCACTACTCGAGGTGAGGTTAAATCACAGCCGTTGGATCAGCCTATTTAAATAACATCGTATTCGGCGCGCCCTAATATATGATGCATTAGCGCCGTCCCAGACTGAGGCTATCCTCTTCCGCTTCGGGAACTCGACTCTAATAATCTTGAAGGTAACTCTTCCTTCCAGTTTAGCTTCACTTCTCATCGCCTTCTTGATCCTATGTGCTTCTTACTATTTTCGGATTGTTCTTCGACGATGAATTTTCTCTTCTGAGTGTTCTATTGTAGCGCATTTTCATTTTATAGCTTTGGAGCCGGATTTTTCCTTTTCTATTAAGGTGTTTGTCGATTTGATAGATTGCTATGTCTTTGAAACTGATCGTCGTTGATTTTCTTATGTTAAACTTGCTTGTGATGTCGGATTTCTTGCGACTCTACAGATCGTAATGACTAAATATATACTAGCGTTGATTGCATCCTTCGATTGGACGTTCAGAAATGAACAATGAAAAACCTAGGTTAGATGAATTAGTCGAACTGTAATTACAGTACGAGCAGAAGCTTACTTTTCACGAATGTTTTTCCGTGAAATGTTGACGGCCTCTCTAGGACAATCTCACTCATGTACTCTCTACGATGAATATGAGGAAATGAATGGATAATTTGTAACTGAAAATATTTTTTGGATAAGCTTAGGCCTCGATAATGATTTTCAGTTTTGCCTTTCTTGCGGATATCGTTATTGTTAATTGATTCTTCTAATAAGTTTTTTGTTTGATTTATAGTTGTAAAAGATATAGCCGAGCACATGTATGCGTTAATCTGTTTTACCTCTCTTTTCTCCGTTGACTAATCTCTGTTTTTTTTTTTAATTGCTCTTATACAAATCTCCGCGTCTTGTATTTTCTTAATCACTTGTTAAGTTTTCAATTATCGTTAGTCTTGTATTTGTTCCTATATTGTGCAGATGGATCATACCAAGCTCCAGAAGATGGCTGGTGCAGTTCGCACTGGAGGAAAAGGTAGCGTGAGAAGGTGAGTTTCATCTGCATCTTTTGAAAGTTAATTAGTGTGTGAGAAGAGTTAGTTATCTGTTGCTTGATTTACTTAATAAGGAGTTGGAAATTAATTCTGGAATATGGAGCTCTTAAAAGTTTTATCTGGACGTGCTTGATTATATTTTATTTGTTGGTGAGTAATTTCATTGAACCATGTTTTACGTGAAATAACATCATCCAACTGTAGACTTGGCATGATCCTAAGGATGAAGGTAACATGATATGTATACACCGTTCCCCATCTACTTCTGATTTTCTCTGTTTTCTCATCCATCATTCTATTAGTTCTAATGGATTTCTTTATTGTAATCTGTGAAGTTTGCTTTTGATAGTAGTTCATTTTGAAAATTTGATTTACAGCTATTGGTTTACCATTGACAACATATATGATTCTTCTTTATCGCACTACTTGGTTGACTAATGGATGAATTCACAAACATAAATTTCATGCTTGTTTGTGTATTGCATCGTTCATTTAAGCAGGTTGTTTTCTCTCGATATTTTCCCATGCTTTCTGAACAAGATAATTTTGTTTTGCTGTGGGAATATCATTTTCATACTCTTTTTTCAAAGATCGTTTTTTTTCCCTCATTTTTTTTAAATTTTCTTTGTCTGTTGTCAATTGAAGGAAGAAGAAAGCTGTTCACAAAACAACTACCACAGATGATAAACGGCTTCAAAGTACCTTGAAGAGAATAGGAGTTAATGCCATTCCTGCAATTGAGGAAGTCAACATCTTCAAGGATGATGTAGTTATTCAATTTACCAACCCGAAAGGTAAAGCCACTCAACTACCCTTTGGCTCTTTACCATCTATATCTTGATAGGTACAATATCTAATGTTTAGTTGTTTCTTGTTCTCTATTTCAGTTCAAGCTTCTATTGCAGCAAACACCTGGGTTGTTAGTGGTACTCCTCAAACGAAAAGTAAGTCTCTCCCAACACTTATTGAATAGAATGAAACATATAACTGATCTTGTGTCGTCGAGTCTAGGGGGATTCTTTGAGTAGTTCTCTACAATGGAACACTTTCTGTTTTTTGGAAAATCGGTCGTATAATTTTTAAAACAAAAGAATAGCCTAAATGAAACATCGTATAGTTGTATCTGCTGTATTTTACTTGGCTATTCACTTCCAATTGTATAGTTCTGGTTTTCAAACCATTTCTAACTCAATGATGAATACTGCTAATCAAAAGTGTTCATAAGGAGTCGTTTTGGGAATGCTATATAAAAACTATTCAATTTTTTTACGAAATTTTTTTATTCTTTAAATAAGGGGAACTTAGTTGGACAGTGAAACGTTTGAAGCTGTAATGAAACGAGTTATTCTTGAAGTAAATGTTAATTGGATGCAAACCTTCAAGTGTTTTTAGTTGTGACGTTTTATTGTAATGCAATAAAATTGTGCGAGGGTTCTTAGGGATTAGGATTATATTGTTGAAAATTTTATCGAACCAGCATGTTCTCGTTGGCTTGGAAGTTGTAATGTGTCATAATAAGGGGGTTTGCTCAAATTCTAATGGACTGTTCCACTAGGTCCAGCATAGGAAGACATCTGTTCTACTTGAAACTGAATAATCTTTATAAATTATAGAATAGTTGACCGTCGTTAAATTATGTCGTTCTTGACATTTACTTGAATTGCAACATTGTCAATTGTAACATCTAATCTGTTCCTATCTTATATGTATGCTGTGTAAATGAGCACCTTGTTTGTTTGTCGTAAAGAATTGTTACCTAAAGCAAGTCCCAAAGATGAAAAAAGTCTAACGTCTTGTTCAGGCAAGAAATTATGAAGATGTCATGGTTGGAATTTTTTATCTTATATGCCCTCTTTAATAATTTGATTTCTTTTCACAGAATTGCAGGATATTCTTCCTGGAATTATCAATCAGTTGGGTTAGTATGCTACTGTTTTCGTGTTTCCGCTGTGTTGTAGATTTAGTAAAAGATCGAACACTGACTCAATTCACATGTCAATATTTTAGGACCTGATAACTTGGACAATCTGAGGAAGTTGGCTGAGCAGTTCCAGAAGCAAGCACCTGGGGCAGGTGCTGGTGCTGCCAATGCACAGGATGATGATGATGACGACGATGTTCCCGACCTCGTTGAAGGACAGACTTTCGAAGCTGCTGCAGAAGAGAAGCAAGCTTCCTAGAGAGGACCAATCTCTTGGGATGATTTTGTTTAGTTTTTACATATTTTTAATGTTTGGAAGAGTCCTTTTTTCTCCTTGTATTTGTTTTTGCTAATCTTGTTTCCCATGGCATTTTACTCGCTCCACCCTCTTGTAACCCTTTGGATGGATGGATGGATGGATGGATTGGATTTTCTATTACCCCACCCCCCTTCAACAGCCTTACTTCCTCGGGAACGCTTTTTATATATAGGCGCTGAATTAATGCCCCTTCCATCCGCCCAATCCAACGAAAAATCTGGGTATCGAACATGAGCTAGCTTTGTACGCGGATGCGAGGTATTCATGTCAATTTCTTCACCTTAGTTCTCATACTATTATTGTAGCGCATTTTAGTCATTATTCTAGAATTTTTGAGTTAAAGCTAACGAGGAAAAACCTATCAATCCACTATTTTAACGTTAGGATTAGACTCACAGAATTATGGAAAAAATAACGCAAGTTAATGTAGGGTATAAAGGGAAGAAAATGGATGAATTTTCATGCAAGCTGCACTTCTGGGGATTGATCACTCTCACGCATTTTTCCTGAGTCCTGCGTACAGAAAAATAAGAAAAGCTGTTGAAAACTGATCGTCTTTTATTTTATAATATTCATAAAACAAAAAGATGAATGCAGAAAAAGAAATGAGAGAAAATTCTCAAAATTACCATCTCACACCGAGAGCTTAAGAACAGAATAATCACCGGGCATACGCGCTTTTCAAAATCTTCATGGTGTTAGATTATGTATATATTTGAAAGTATTATAGAAAGCTCTAAAGATATTTAAAAAAAGAGACTTTTAAAGTACTTAAATAGTATTTATTTAGACATTTATAAAATAATAAATTGAATATAGAAATATTTTAAAGGAAAGAAAAATATAGACATTTATATAAGGAGCCGAAGAAATGATAGGAGAGGTAATAAATCCTTCAGAGATTGAAGAGCCCAGGATTCTCGGAGTTGTGAAGAAAGCTAATGAAAATCAAAGATTTAAAGCCTATGACACTAAATGGAAATGAGAATTCCAGAGGACAATGTAACAAACTCAAGATTTTATTTGAATGGAGTCTCAGGTAGAGGAAACATACCTTGTTGACAAGATATTCTTCGTCCAAATTTAGGCACCACAAATGGATAATTTATCACCAAGGCACTGTGTAGAATTCGCTCTCCTGAAATTATGAAGAATCCGATTTATTAGAGTTGATTGATTAAAAGCATTCAATCAAGGTCATTTTGGAGCAAGCGTGGGTACTTACAATCGAAAGTTGCCCAAGGAGCTGGAATTACAGTGGAGCAGTCATTGTTTGCATCTTGGACACATTGGAAGAGATCTGGGAATCTGTTTGTATTTGTTGTGGAAGTCTCACATTCTTTCGTTAATGAAGGACCTCTTGGTGGAGCTGAAGCAATCGTACGATCCTTCATATCAAAAGAATTCTGCATCAGAAAAATGCATAACCATAATCACACTCTTAATCTACAGCTTCTTATTTCTTAGACAAGGCAAGCAGGGAGTGTTAATATGGCCTGGAAGCCATTTTTTCTCCCTCCTGAAATTCATTAGAGAACTTAGACTGATTGTAACCGTCTAGACCCACTGCTAGTAGATATTGTCCTCTTTGAAGTTTCTCTTTCGGGCTTCCGCTCAAGGTTCTTAAAACGCGTTTGTTAGGGAGAGGTTTCCACACACTTATAAAGAATGCTTCATTTCCCTCTTCAACTGATGTGGATCTAGATCTCACACTAACTACGGGTGTCAAGTTCCCTTAAAAATTAACTTCTTTTTCAATATTGTCTTCTTGGTAAACGACCATAAAATGCTTTGGACCAAGGGGTGGTAAAATCAGCAAGAACAAGTTATAAAAAGGACAGATCTCAGATCAGACAACGACTGAAAGACTGGCGTAGGAAGAATGTTGTAAGAATGGCCATGCTTAAAACAAACAACTTGTACGTAACCCTAGTCTCTAAAAAATGAAACAAGTTCAATGAATTCCACAACCCAAATCATGCAATCGAAGGAAAAAAAGTGAAGTGCTGACTCCGTTTGTTTATTCATTCATTTTCCAAGTGAGCAGGATTTGTAATAAAACAAACCAATGTGAAAATGAAAGGAACACATTAATAGGATAGAATTTTTGTTGAATAACATAATAAAATAGCGTATGCTAAAAAATGTCAGGACTTATATGTGTGGTAAGATGTTACGACTAGATCATTGACTACTTTTATTATGCTATTTTTGTAATTCCCTCCGCACTAACATGGAGATGCATGATCGTAATTTTGTAACTTGTAGAAAAATCTCACTTGAAGGAAAACAAGAATAAAGAATACTAAGCAACAAGATTAAAAATGAACTAACCCCGCGTGCTTTTGCAACTATGGGAGTCGCATGTTTTGTGAGAATCTCTTCCTCAAGAGAATAGTTCCTTATCTTCTTTGGAACAGAGCTTTTGGGTCCATTTACAATCGAATCACAATAAATACTCATTCCACCTAGTTCTGGAGTTGGGTATGCTCTGTTCTTAGAAACCCACCTTTTCTCTTCGTACCTGGAAGTTCCTCAACAACGTTAGATAAATAGAAAAGAACAAGAATGAATAAATCACATCCAAATTTATTTAAGAACTTGTTCTAAATTTATGCAGAGAAGTTACTTGGCACGAATGAATGTTTGATTCCCCCTCTTATCAAAATTTGGTGGTAGTTCCGCTTCCCAGTAATAATTTGACCTCTCATTACCCATAGCTACAAATATAGTAAGCAATATGTTAAATGATCTGTAAGTGACCATCGACCTCAAGTAGTTGATAAAAATGAAAAATTAATTTGCTGGCTGTAAGATCTCTCAACATAAGATTTTTCTTCGGGGATCAAGTATCCACCAATTGGGCAGGAATTTAAATTGAAAGCAGTCTATTGATGTTCCTAACTTAACTTTTCTTCTGAAAAGACAAGTTTAACAAATGTTAAATATTCTTACACTGCATAAAAGCAACCTGTTCCGGTAGCCATGTATCAAGAGTAGTAGACCGTACCTACCACAAAAATGAAAATTTCAAAATGTCAGCAATCAAAGATCCAACATAACAAGGATTTAGAAAATATTGAAGTTATAACACCAGGTAAATCAAAATTCAATTAAACTACATGTAACAGCAAATGCAAGCACATATGCATAAGGCAATGCAAGCAGTTCACCGTGCTCATAATTTCAGTGAGTTCATAAGTTAGTTGTGCATTCAATGTAGTTGAGCAGTACCGCAATTTCAACCCAAGGATTACAGGACAAGCTTAACTAATACTTGACAGATCTATTGGGTTTGTCGGCAGATGACTTGGACATAGTTTGCGGGCAATGACACTGATTATCTTGGATAATTTGAACTAGATAACAAATTTACTTTGAAGCCCAGCAGATCAGTAATATGTATATACGACAAGGTTCTTGAAGCTTCAATTGCAAAGAGGAAATGCTTAATCCTTAAAGCATCTTGGGTAGAGAATCCTAATTAATTTTTAGTATTAAGTGCTATCAAAAGCACAAATAGTGTGGGACTTATGTGCTAATTTGTCCTCAGTTCCATTAAGTCTTTCACCGTATTTGTGATCTTCAATGAAATTAATATGCAAGGAGATTTCCTCTAAATAACCACCAAAAAATCTTAAACAGAGTGACTAGAAGTCTTGCCTCCAAAAATATTGAGATACTCCAACGGCAGTAATAAATACATACAAGCTGGCAAGTTTCTGGCCCTATACAATCCTTTTTTTATTGTTTAAATCTAAGATCATTTTGAAGTTGAAGAATCTCTTCCAACTACAAGATACTGTTCAAGCAAAACCAAAATGTTCAACGATCTACTAGTAGTCACATAAAACTACATAAAAGGAACTTCAATAGCTAACAAAAATCCTTTTTCTACTTGTGGTAGGAAAGAGTTAGGGAAACCTTTGAAATATGTACTCCAAGACTCCTATGAATACCCGAGCATTGCAGGCATATAAAAATTCCAAGGTTTACACTTGCCCATCGGGGAGCCCTGTGCATCATATAGCAAAAAATTACATTAAAGTTCACAATATTGTAGTGCATGTTGAACTCGGATCAAGAAAGCTTGTATCAAAGCACATTTTCTTAGAAAACCATTTCCAAAACCTGGTTTTCACAGTAATCATTGGTCAACAGTGAGCATGGTTAAACTGCAACAATTTAAAATGCTTGCTTTGATATCATGCTAAACCTAAAACAATATCTAATAGTTGGCCACCACATGAATCTTTATATGATGGAAAATATTTATTTTAAAATGCCTTAAACATATTGTATCTTATTCACCAGAAAGTTATGTAGATGCATATTTTTCTCCTGCTCGATATTATTACCATGTCCAGGCTTTTTAGCTAGTTGCTAGGGCCATTATTGTGCACTGCCTAAGTCCTCTAATGCTTGTCATAAAATTGCAGCACTCAAACCAAGTCCTAACCATCTCAATAATTTAGCAGCCTTGTTTCAAAGATGCCTAGGGATGAGAAACATACACAAAATAGTAACAACTAATCTACCGAAACTTTATAGAGCATCATATTCAGAAATTAGTTTGCAGCTTTAAATTTCAATTGAATATCAAATAATGAAATATTTAATAGTTCTGAATGTCATCAAACTAACAGCCAAAAAAAAAAGTCCAATTGCATTGAACATTCAAAGGGATGCAGTTTGACAAAGGTACTGGCAAAAAAGCTGATGTCCACATTCGTTGGTTAAATAGATACTAACATGATATGAAACTAGAGCGCTCATAATACATAAAACTAGATGATAACCAATTCGTTTTATGTAATCAAAGAAGGTTAACAAAAAAAAAAAAAAAAAAAAAAAAAAAAAAAAAAAAA